TCAATGCACTAGAAATGCCCGCTCCCCGCAAAATAAAGGACGCAAACTAAAACAAACGCCGCGCAGTAAAAAGAAAACAACAAAAAAGATTCCGCCGACAGAAACAAAGTAATACACGAAGTTTTTTTGTTTTGTTTTTTGCCTTTTTTAGAGAAAAAACGATGGATTTTTTTTTTTTCCGGTGTGCAGTTTGAAGCGAGTTTGGTTCGAAATGAAGGCGCACTTGACTCATCGCACATGACAAACCCTCTCAGTTCGGCGTCATTAATAGTTTATGGCTATCTGCCATTTCACGCCCATCAAAATAAATTGCCAGTAAAACTAAAAAAAAAAATTCATAACTTTATAGTTAGGTTAAGCAAAGCGCAGATCAGAACTGATAACATGCCGGGGCGAAACTGATGCGGGACTCAAAATGTATCGACTCAAGCAACAGCGGCCCATTTGAATGAAACGCGGCGACTCAATAGACCGATCTCACCACATGTTCCACGTATGCGTGATGCCGCCATAACTGTAGTTTTCAGAAGGCAGATGCCAGTGCACGAGACAACAGCTCGCGCCATATCGTGCTCTGATTGCGCAGACCCACAGCGTGGTTAGTGCGCCTACAGAATGACTACAGTTCCCACGATGCATGGCGACAGCGGCGGCATACTCAAGCTAGCTGGTGAGATCGGTCTATCGACTCACAGGGTGAGTAAATCCCTGTTTAATGCATTCCCAAACATAGCACAGGTTCACCACCAGTTTTAAGCTAGTCACTCTCAAAGAATTTCATGCTACACTGGTTCTTGGTGCTTTTACTCACTCATAGTTCATTTTCTTGTTTGATCGCCCCTTTCCTGCCAATTTCAGATCATAAAGCGTTCGACTGAGGAGTAAAATCGTTCGACTGCCTTTGACTGCGGAGTAAAAAAAGAGAGAAAAAAAAGAACCTAAAACATGAAACTCGAGAGATACTGAATGTTGACAAAAAATAATACTAAAGCGTCGGTGCATGGTAAGCTCAATAAAGTTAACCTTTGCAATGTCCATCCTCGCATGACCGACGGATGAGCGCCATGAAGTGTACTTTCTAACACAACATGAAACGTGGATTCACTCTAGACACATTTGGATGGGTAACATCAACATTGTCCGATCGAATGGTGGTGCAGTGTTCGCGCCCGATCTGTGTGCCGCGCTTGGTCGATGTGTTTGAAGTCACGGGGAATGAACAAAAGTTGCATTATCTATAATACGTTGATAGCTGGGCCAGTCTGTATTCACTGTACATACTGAGGTAAAACAGCACAAAAACTATCGCTGCGCTTCCGCCATTTTACCTCAGTATGTACACAGCGTTATCTACGTGTTGGCGTACCTGGGCAGTGCGGCAATACGTTAGGCTGCAGCGGGGTTCAATATCAGGCTTTTCAAAACGCTCTTGAAACGTCCAAGTTGTAACGCAGGGGGGCTCTGAGGGGACCCGACGCCTCGGCATGCCTTCAAACGCATACGCGCGGACCGGCCTTCATACCTGACACACTCTAGGGTATACTACGGGCGCTTGGCACGAGAATCAACTATAGACCCTGTTTTAGACAGATGAAACTGGACTCTATCGCTTAAATGCGGGACACCACGCTTGACGATTGACAGCTTAGCACAGATGATCAAAGCTAATGCGTGGGCGTTGAAACGTAAGTCCTAGAGGGGCTTTGGCAGGATTTCGCAATATTTATTCGAGCGTTCGCATTTATAGCTCGCCAGAAACGGTTCACAGCGCCGTTGAAGTAATACAAATAGCTTTCAGGGCTACACTAACTGTCTGACAAGGGGGGAAAAAAATCTACCAAGCGTTCTCTTTCGGAGAGCGAGAGTCGAGATCGCGGTGTTAATAGTGCACATTTACTACCTCTCCAATCGTAATTTAGAAGGAGCTCCAGAAAGCGTCCTATGGATCGAGAACCCTATTTAAGGGAAGGAACTATATTCAATTTCTGAAAACCGCCTCGAAACAAGTCTTTATGTCATCGACTCCGCAAGGACGTCCTCACAAACGGGAAAATTAATAACATAAATATACACCGCAGAGCATGGAAAAGGCAGTGAGCACTCCAGTTCCCAAGGGGACAAAGGGGAACAGCAGACCTCACCTGGAACCCAGGGCTGGTTCAGCACAGGGAGTGGACGACAAAAGGCCTTGACTCGGAAAAGCGAAAGGGCAGAGCCAACAGCGTGCTTACAAAAATACTGACTTCCGGCGGCACCCCTAGGTCCTGTTTGGGTTCGGCTGCTGAACACCGAATTTCTGATTGTTGTTTGGGCCCTGGAGCATCGACAGAGTGAGACTAGAGCTACAGCGGCTGCACGGGCGCTCTGTGGGCCCTCGGCGTAGTGAAATGGTGTATATACAGGCGCAACTGGGTACGGTGGAGGCAGTCCGTTCTCTACTCCAGGAAGGCCTAGATGAAATTCTACGCTGAAAGTGCAAAAAAAGTTGGGAGTCACGTGAAAAAGTGTCCAGGCACTTCAGCATGCAAGGTTAAAAAGAAGAAGAAAAAAAAAAAAACGGACGACGCGTTTCTAGTTCTTAAAAGCGGAACTTTGAATCTTTGCTCTGAGAAAGTGTCGTGCAATATATGCCATTTTTCTACCGCGTCTGCCAACGGCACGAGAACCATCTCTATTGTCGCAGGTCCCATGGCTTCAACCGACAAAACAACGCGCGTGCGTATGTGGATGTGAGCTCCGTAGATTAACTGAGCGCCCAAGAACCAAGGCCGCCAGCCGATACGAGACAGGAGTTTCTGTGTTTGGCGGATGTCTGCCGGAACCACTGGTGCCCGTGATAATTTTCTGGGCCGCGCTCACCTGCCTCACCTGTCGCCAAATTCGGTCGCTAACGCATTGCTGACATGTGCGCGGTACGTGCTCGATAGCTATCATTTTAATGTTTCTGGAATCTTTGTTTAAACCCCTACTGCAGCCACGGAGCAACTAAGAAACGTTCAACGAAAGCGTGGTCCCTCGCCTTAGGAGTAGATTCAAGCAAGAAGTTTTCACGAACGATTGGACCCAATCGGAATACGGGACGTTTCTCTGACCTAAAAATAAACCATCGTGGGAGGTTTCATGTGCCTAATGCATACAAAGCTCCAACATAAAGGCGCGTTTCTGCTTAACGGTTACCTGACTTGATAATCGCAATCTACTGCTGGTATTGTGAAGGGTGTCATTATGTATCGATAGCGTTATTCTATACCTTAACAAGAGGAAACAATCAGAGCTTTGCTGTGAACTGTTTCGTTGCAACGTCGTCGCTGTCAGCGCTTCCCACATACTCGGCTGGAACGAGCATCTAAGGGCCGCCTTGATACTTCTTACGTCCACACATCCGTTGATGGTTGTTTTCTCTAGTCGCAGCGAAGCTACTCAAAGCGCGCCTCAGAAAAACATCACACAAAGGCATGAACTGGGAATCAACACTTGCCACATCGCACAGATCTCGACTTGTGTCAAATATCTGATCAAAACTGGGAAGGCAAGGGCGCCAATGTTCCGGCTAGGAATCAAACTTCTGTCGGCAAAGACAAGGTTGGGAATTGGAGCGCGTGGATTTGTTATATTTATAAGATTTATTTTCAGTTTTTAATAATTTACTGTTGTTTCAAATCAAAATTGCTTTCTCAAGCTACAAATAAAAACATGCTAGATTAAAAGAAAGCAAATTCTGTGTAGCTAACGAGGAGAAATAAGGTTTAAAAAAAGTTACGTCTTTTCGTCGTGTGCGGCCTTCTTTCTTAGCACTTCGTCATACCAAAAAAAAATCCTTCTTTGCTGCCATAAAAAAGATCGTTAAAAAAAAAAAAAGAAACAACCAAATATTTGAAAATCCGCCATGTCCAACCACACTTAACAGTTAAGGAGCGAGTCCGACATTCAACTGAAATAACTTACGGAGCACTACACAGATGGTCGTTCGCAACAAGAATGCCCACAGGCTCTAGTTCCGTGAACTTCTGCAAGGGCGTCGTAGGTGAGAAAACAGAAGAAAAGCAGCGACGTAGAAAACGATCTATTGTCTTCACGTGCAAGGACAGCTCAGGACGACGAGCACAGTTATCGCTAAAACAAAAACTAGATGAAATGAGTATTTAGCACCAAAACTGAATTAACGAACCATGTTTGAATACAGTTGAAAACGACAACGTAAAAACGGTTGAGACTCGGGAAGGCAACTAATTTCCTTCGCGACCGCAGCAATATACTACCAAAAATGCATTACAACTTTGGCGCACATGAATACGCGACTTCTCGCGATTCAAACGGCCAGCCTGTAGATTCAGTATATCCCGCACAAAGCGATCGACACGATCAATTTCGTAACTCCCGGCATAACCTGACAAGCTCTAGTATTACTTAGTGACATGGCGAGGCAATCGTTTGAAGCAGCATAATGCGGGAGCAACAAGTATCCAACAAACACGCACGCACATTGCTCTCATTCACGTTCAAGAGCTGAGAGGAAGCCTCAAAGAGAAGGCAAGAGTGTAACTGCGATTAATCACCTTATGTGTCATAGTGCACGTGAAGCATTACACTTATCACCGCGATGATCCGTATATGAACATCTGTAACCAGTGACATGAAACGGCGCGCCAATTGCCACTTGCCCTTAGAAATGCGGCTTGGATAACAATCCCCATCGACTGCCACGATGCGTAATGGCCGCGCCCTGTCGCGACAGCGATGCGAGATGCCACAGTACAGGATTTTCCGCAGCTCAACTCGCGTCGTCAAAACCAGGCAGGTGTGACAACCTACACACCGCCCTCGTCCAGAGACTTGAAACTACCGTATCAACCGCGTGGTACACTACAAGGCCAGTCGGAGAAACTAGGGTGCGAGCCCGCTCATCAACGGCTAACGGAACCATCAGGTCATCCGAGAACCAGGGCAATACCGGACAGGAAGCAAGACCAGAGCGCTCGTCGGGGCTTGGACAGCCGGTCGAGCGGCTTTTCCGTGGTCTGTCCCCGGCGTGTTCGGACGTGGTTGTCCAGGCGGCGGTGCCGACCTAGGCTGACAAGGTCAAGGCGACCTCGACGGAGCGTCGAGGCCACGGGGTCGCGGGAGCGCCCAGTTCCGAGTAAAGGCATCGGGATGGCGATTGTGCAGAAGAAGGCTGAAGAAGGGACGCGAGGACGGGCGGCGGTGTCCCACGGGGATGGAGCCGAGAGAGTTAGGCGTACTCGGACTCCGAGAGGCTCTGCGTCTCGGACAGGCGCCGAACATGGTTGGCGTAGTAGTCCTCGGGCAGGTCTTCCGAAGGTTGGCCCCTGGCGCTCGCGTACGAGATGGATTTCTGGTAGCTGAACACCTGTCGCTCCAGGTTGTAGTTCTCCGCCTGCAGGGCCGCTATCTCGCGCCTGGAGCCGATCATTTCCCGGGCAGCGTCCAGCCACGCAGGTGGAGAAGGACCGATGAACCAACGGAGACAGATAAAAAGGGAGGGAATGATGGGATAAAACAAGAAAGACGGATGTTAGCGACTTGTGAAGAACAAGAAACGGAAAGGCAGGAAGAGAAAAACAAATTATTCTGTACACGAAGTGATATTCTTTCTTAATTGGTACAAAAACAGTGGAGGGTGGTTTTTAAATACGGCGAATTTCCAGGTGAAGCAACCCACAAAAGGGGATGTCTAAGTATAATCACGTTTTTATTACTTGCACTTCCCTATAAACACGATTGCGCAGCTGTCTTCACGTTCCTCCCCAGACGTTTGTTGATTAAAGTAACAACTATGGCCTTAGAACGGCTTTCAGTATACGTGAGCTTTGCAAGATAGATTTCAAGTTCGAAAAAAAAAATCGTGCTGGTAGCTTATGATCGTCATCAGGTAAAATGGAGCATTACATTCCAATAAGATATTTACTATAAATAGGCATGTAATAAAAATAGCTAGCGTGCATAAACGACGAACAGAGCTCACTTCATCTGATGGCACTGGGTGCGCGCGATGTCGTCGTACTTGTGGTAGGTGGAACCGAACAGAAGCTGCGAATCCAACCACTCCACGTGCACCGTCAGGCTGCCCGAGCCGTCAAGATACATACTTGCAGACTCACGGACCTGTTTCCAGACGAGACAACGAAATACCAAGTAAGAAGAAAAGCGTATTGCCACAGTGCGAAAAAAAAAGAAAGAAAAAAAACAGCCCAGCAGCAAATGCTTTTACAATCGCCGGCAATATAAGAAACGTAAAAGGTCGCGTGTTTACAACTCTCAGCTGGTGGTAAGGGTCATTATTGACCCGGCAATGTTTTTCTAATGTTCACGCAGCCCCTCGAATACACCGCACAAACAGGAAAGCAAATAAACAAATAAATAAACTTGCGTTGAAAGTCACGCATTTTTCAAAGAACAATAGAACTGAACGCTAAAAGGTCCCAACTTATCAACTTTCGATCTCTATGTCTCCAATTCCCTCCAAAATGAGCTCCCCTCCTTTTCCGCCAATAGCACACTCATCGAGGCACAAAACAAAATTTAAAAAAAAGTCAAGTAACGGTCGCGTGCACTCATTCCGGTGCCCCGATGCCTCCAAACCCCGAGATGACCTCCGGAGTTTTCCCCCGACCGGTCCACCGGCCGAGCAGCAGCCGTCCGCGGACGCGTTATCGGGACTCGTTGTCGACGCATCCGGCCGCAAACTGTCGCCCGGCGGAAAGGGTGCTCGGCTCGCCTCCTACCCCCAGCCCCCCAAACCCGCCTAATTCGACGCGCAGGCATTCCTCGCCGTTCAGGGGGATACGGGCACGTCCATTCATCACGCGGCCAGAGCACATGCCCAATAACGAATCCGAGTCCGCGCTCTCGGAGGGCACAGAAACACAGGCTCATTTGTCAACCCGATGAACGGCACAGGCCGGGGAGGCTTGGCCCGCATTCAATAGCAGCCAGCGCCGGAAGCAGCAAGTCCACGAACGAGACGGCACGCAAAACAAAATCGAAGCGGATTTGCCGACATTACGCTCGGCCAAACCAATTTAGCGACGATGTCTGCCCGAAAGGACAACGCATTCGGTTCGAAAAACGATTTTCCTGCTTCGGCATTCATTTAAGCGCACGAGAGCCACCCGGAGCAAAGCAATTCCATGCCGACGACTGAAGAGATTTTTTTATTACTATTATTAGTTAGCATCCGGAGAATAGCTCCCACACGAGAGCCCGGAAAAGCTCTAAAAATCAAGCTCTGCAACGATTGAATCGCCGAAATAAAGCACCAACGCGGGATCAATGGAAGTCCATTTAGATTAAGAACCGCCAAAGAGACGCAGCGATTTTTTTTTTTTTTTTTTTTTTAAGCTGGACAAGAAAGTATGGCTCCATACCAATCCACAAAAAGGAACGAGCCAGCATCGGCTCGCAAACAGGCGCCTCCCATTGGGATCGTATACGGGCCCAAAGTTTTACTACCTGCATCAGTATTAAATTGAATCATAAAAATTTACGGTTACTTTGGGACAGAGTTTGATGGTGCATGAAATGCATTCGTTCTTTTTTTTTTTACTCTTTAATTCTACGTTATTTGTTTGACTATTTCTCTTCTGGCATTGTAAATGCCAAACGAATGCATATCAGGGATTACCAAACTTTGCCTCAAAGTAACTGTAAAAAAGAATAATAAAAACATTATATATATATATATAAATAAATAAATAAATTTTAGCGACGTTCTGCATACTGAGTAGACTTTGAAGGCGTTCGAAGAAATACATGTGCTTCAGCAACATTTTCCAATCATTTTGTCTTTTGTTTTTTGAGTAAATACAACTTAGAATTAATGAGGCGGTCGTGACAAATTATAACCCAACGGCGCTAGAGGCGCACAGGATTGGAAATTCTACAGCGGTCATCGTCCTCTTTGAAGGACAGAGAGTGCCCCGGTACGTAATATACCGAGCGGCACTGCTCAAGTGCGGGCTTTACAGGAAACATCATGAAGTGTGTAGATGTTGCGGAAAAGTCGGACACCGCATCGACGTATGTCCAACCCCGGAGACCAGAGTATGCTTCGCGTGCGGGGAGGCCAACCCCGACGCGGACCACGAGAAGGCATGCAAGCCAAGTTGCAAGCTATGTGGAGGAGCGCATCCGACGGCAGATACAATTTGCAAGAACAAGTTCAAGGTCCCCTTCGTCGTCACGAAAAGACAATGGGAGCGCCGAGAGGAACGCGAACAGCAACAGCTCCAGAAGACAAGACCACCAATGACGTCATCGGACTTTCCACAGCTGCCGAGCAGGGAGAAAAGCGAGTGCAGCGAAAGCCAACGGCGCACCGACAGCCGCGAAAGACACAAGAGCCAGCAAAAACACCTGCCGCCGTCGCAGCAGGAAGACGGGAAGCTTAAGTGGTTGGCTGCAGTTAAGGGAAGCAAGTCGAAAGAAACGCCCCGCAGCAAGCAGCAGCCACCATGCCAACACCATAACACCGGAGAACCGCCCGTGACAAGGCGAGAAATATACGACATGATCAACGAAAACAACGAAAGGCTACTACAGAAGATGGAAGAGAAGATGGACGCAAGGATCGACAAACTACTAGAAGCAATAAGGGCGAGTCAAGCGCGACAGTCACTGCCGACCCCGCAACAGGAGCAAGAGGTGGAGCAGATACCCCGCCCATCCTCGAAGAAGAAAACCCCAGCAAAGCCACCTAAGAGGAAGGAGGAACCAGCCATCGCCGAAGAGGAGGCTACCAAAAGCAGCATCGAAAGCGACGAGGAACAGCCAAAGGGGCCCAGCAACAAAAAGAGGATTATCGAGAATACCAAAGAGAGAAAGCTCATGGCCAGGCTCGACCGCATGGACAAAGAGCGGGAACAAATTGCACATTCGATGAAGGAAAAATTCAACAAGGTAGAGGTGACGCTGGGAGAAATACAAAGCGGAATGCTACAACTACAAACGCAGATGCAAACGTTCCTGCAGAGTATGGAAGCCAAGATGCAGACATTCGTGCAGAACGCCCAAACCCAGATCACCACCCAAATACAGCAATTATGAACCCAACAGCGAAATCGAACGCCAAGCCAGACAAAAGGGCAGTAACAGACCAGCAGCCGGTCAGGGACCTCCTGATTTGGCAGTGGAATTGTAACGGCTATCACAATAAGAGGGCAACGCTAACACGGCACCTACAGGGAATGGAGAGGAAACCGGACGTCATTATGATTCAGGAAACACTATGCACTGACACACCCCAACTTCAAGGATACAGAGCACACGCCAAGGCGGCCAAGCCCCTAAACAAAAAAAAGAAAAAGTTTGGAATACGCAAACCAACAGGCGGGGTGTGCACATTCGTCTGCAAGGGCATCGTATTCCTCGAGCACGAGCTGACCACCGGCGGCTGGACCGATAGCAGCGCGGTGGAGGTGATCGTTGGGAAGAAGAAGAGGAAAACCAGCGTGCTCGCGGTCAACGTGTACAGCAGCCCCAGACATAGAAAGCAAAAGTTCCGCACGCTCATGCAAAGGGCACTGCGTGCGACGAAGAAAGGCACGATCGTAATAGGGGGTGACTTTAACGCACCACACTACGACTGGGGATACGATAAGACAACCGAAAAGGGGAGAGACCTATTGCAAGACGCCACGGACGCGGGGCTAACGCTAATCACGAACCCGGAGACCCCCACAAGAACGGGTACTTCGGTCGCCAGGAACACCACCCCGGACCTGACGTTCGTCGAAATAAATGGGAACGACACCGCAACGTGGAAAAACACCAAACACGACTTCGGCAGCGACCACATGGTCATAGAGATCCGGGTCCCGCTGGGGAACGGTGCAAGCCAAGAGAAACGAACACACAGATACACGAACTGGGAGGAGTTTCGGCGTCAGCTCCCAAGCCAGCATGGTAACATTGAAGATATAGAAGCGTGGTCGAAGGCGATAGTAGAAACGACCGAGGAGGTGACGACAGAGATAGAAACGGACGAAGACATACACGAAATGGACAGCAGATTGGCCCACCTCATCGAGGCGAAGACTGCCCTCAAGAGAAGGTGGAACCAACAACGAACAAACAGAAGGCTCCGCAAAAAGATCGCGGAAATCAACAGGGAAATAGAGAAACACAGCAAGGAGCTCGGCCGGCAGCAGTGGGAGCAAACGTGCAGAGAGGCGGACGGCCAACTCCATCTGGGCAAGACGTGGCGACTGCTCCGGCACCTCCTCGACGACACCCAGACCAAGGGAGAACAACAGTACAAGCTCAGCAGAATTATACACAAGGCGGTAGCGGAGCACGGGGAAGTGGAGGTGAAGAGGAGACTCGACGCCAAATACCTCCCGGTTTCCCCAAAGGAAAAGCACCCAAAATACCAGGGGGCAGAGAACATCGAGGTTGACCAAGACATCGAGGAATGGGAGGTCCGAAATGCGATGCAAGACCTGAACAGGCGTTCGGCGTCGGGCCCGGACCGCGTCAGCAACAAAGCGCTCAGAAACTTGAACGACGCGGCCGTGACGGCACTGACGGCGTACTTCAATAAATGCTGGAGGGCCGGCAAGCTACCACGCCAGTGGAAGGAAGCCAAAACCATCCTCATTCCGAAACCAGGCAAGTCGCCCGACATCGAGAATCTACGCCCAATATCCTTAACATCGTGCGTGCACGTGGGTAAACTGCTAGAGCACATCTTAATGACCAGATGGCAACAGTACCTCGAAGAGGCAGAGCTCTACCCGGATTCTCTCGTCGGCTTTCGAAGCAAGCTTGGAACGCAAGACGCCATGCTCCAACTCAAGAAGGAGATAGTAGACTACGAAACTCACACCAGCGACAACAGGGCAATACTGGGCCTGGACCTGCAGAGCGCCTTCGACAAAGTCCGGCACTCTGCGATCCTCGCCCAAGTGTCGCACCTGAACATGGGACAGAGATCTTACAATTACATTCGGGATTTCCTGACCGACCGCACGACTCACATCTGCGCCGGGGATCTCCAACTACCAGAGAAAACGCTCGGCAGCGAGGGGACACCACAAGGCGCGGTAATCTCTCCGCTGCTCTTCAACTTGGTCATGATCGAAGTCGCCAACCGGCTGCGGAGCGTC